TATTACTTTGTCCACTCCTTGATATTATTGTGATTTTATTGCACTGAACTTGTAGTTTGTTTACATAACTTTTGTAGTAGAATATTAGGTTTTTGATAAGTATTTATGTTTTAACACATGTTATCTGTTCTTTGTGGTTTAGATAGTAAATTATTGATTTAATTCCATATATTTTAATTGTTATTGTCTTGGTCACTATTTTTTGAGAAAGTTTTTGTTTTTTTTTTTTTTTTTATATACTTTAGCCAACGTCACATTCACTAGATAATAATTTCACTGATAGTTAACAGTTAATTACTCAGACTAGACAAACATTCAACTAAATATTCACTCAATTAGCAATTTTAAATATTTTTTTTTACGGAGAACAACAACAAAGATACTGACAGCTAAAGCGCCATCTAGCGGACTCTTCTCTAGGTTGTGGTGTGTGTAGCTTTGGTGATTGAATTAACAATAGAAAAACAAATGCAAAGTCAGGAGAAAGACACATATTTTAATCTTGGAAGAAATTGTCAGAGGTGTATATAATATAATAGCTGTGCCCGCGACTTCGTCCGCGCGGAATAGAGATTCACAGCTCCTCCCCCTTAGATGATAGCGTGATATATATGCCTATAATATGTTGATTCTATGTACAGTTTTGACATTCCTACGATTGTATTATACCTACTTATAGATTAGAATTCATAGATCGTGTTATGAACCTACACTTTATATTAATCTATTACCATGCCTCTAATACGACTACACACCGTGCTTATAGAAATTTTCCAAATTTTCGGAAAGCCACAATAACACTACAACCGACCCAGTATGCTCAATTTCGGCAGCATGATTAACTCGTCGAGTACCGGTTTTGTAGACACAATTATAGAACAATAGGTTGCGGTCACCGGTGACCTTGGTGGCTTGGTGTTTGACAGTTTAAAGCAAATTTTCTATTCCTACCTATGAAAATCTATTCCAAGTAGAAATAGACCAAAACACTAATTGCTATAAAGTGCCATGTTTACTTATTTTGTAGATATTTCCTAACAAAAGCATAGAAAAAACACCTCATTATTTTCTTAGATCCCAGATAGTGTGCAAAAAATAGACAAAAACATGTCACCGTTCCTATTTTTGTCCGCAAATCATATTAAGTAATCACATTATGTATAAATGTATGTATAATCATTATTTTTGCCTATTACTAAACAATCTTCGTATCAACATTTGCTTAAATCAGAAGTCATAATGTCATATTATTATGATTAGTGTTATTATTTTTTTAGTGCTCGTCGTGTGTTGTTTTGATTTAGGTTAGGAAACTCAGATATGACGGCGTTATGTCTGTGAGTGATTCAGTATTAGGTACTTTCTTTAGAGTACAATTTCTTTAATCAAAAGTTAATAATTTCGACTGTTCGATGCAATAAAATGTTATAAAATAATCACACTTTCATTAATTGATTTTATCACCAAATTAATTTTAGTATTCCAGCATTTTTTAAATAAATAAGTATGCTCTTTGACGCTAAAAAAACGTGACGTCACATAACCCACTCTCGTACAAAATTCATAGAAAACTGTCATGTCGTTTTTGACAGTTCGAAAGAAGTATTGAATTTGAATAGTTTTCAAGTACCCAATTATATTGTTTACTATACCTACTTACAAAGTTCTGTAAACAGGGGTAACAGAATACCAAGACATATGTACCTATTATTCATTTTTTATTATATGTCCCTTGTAACAAGACTGGTACACACGGCTACACATTGAGCTTTACATAACCAGTATAAACTGAACGTTAAATGTGCGGAAAGATGATACGACGCGACACCAGGATGAACTGGTTTTGTATAGGTTGATGTGTGGTCGTGTGTACAAGTCATTTACTACGTGGGTACTGAAAATCAAAATATCACTACATATTTGAGACAGAAATCTAATTTCATACTAAAGTTTATTTTAAGGGATAAACCCGCCATATCTTCCCAAAACTCATAGTAAAGTTTTGGACATAGAGCTTCACTATACATTTCTGTGCTTTATAATTTCATTATCTTACGGAAACAGCTAAAATGATTGTAATGAATTACCCCTAGTAGATAGAGAAACGGGAGAAACCTAGTCATCATTAACTCGTCGAGTACCGTCATTATAGACACAATAGGCGTGTCGACAGGGTAAAAAAATCAAAAAAGTTATTAGTCCGTCATTAAGATCGCACGAAAATAACAGACACGTATTTTTTGTTTTATCAAATTAACAGAAGAATACGTAGTTATTCCGCATTAAAGTTAGGGAGTGGGGGGTGTTGACGTCACACTTATGGAGAAATCGTACCTAATTGTGATGTCACGCGTCATTTTAACTCATAATATCTACATGTTTTTTTGGATACGAGAAAAAAGAAAAAATACGTATCGAACATTTTTAAAATATCTAAAAGACGGACAAAAAATTAAAAAATAGTCGCCATGCCTATTATAGAACAATAGGTTGCGGTCACCGGTGACCGCTCAGCGTTTGACAGTTTAATGCTTTATCCTAAAACTTTTATGGCAGATAAACCGCTAAGGGATTTTGAATTGAAATGACACAGATGAAGTGAAACCGCCATCTAAAGCTAATCGTCTATAAATTCTGCGCAGGCGCCACGTCTATTTCTGAACACCGTTAATCCTATAGCAAATGTGGTGTGACCAGTATCCGAGGGAAATTACTGTAAACCTATAATTAAATAGAAAATATCAACCGACATTAGGATGCATGTAGCATCATCATCATCAACAGCCTATAAATGCCCACTGCTGAGCAAAGCCTCTTCCCACACGGAGAAGGTTTGAGCATTAATCATCAACGCTTGCTCAATGCGGGTTGGTGATTACAAACTTATAATAAGAAATTATAAGCCCAGGTTTCCTCACGAAGTTTTCTTTCACCGTTTGTCAGTGGTATCTAAATAATCTTAGATAGTACATATAACTCGGAAAAAGTCACATTGGTACTTGCCGTTGGTAGGTTTTGAACTCGCACCCTCATGCATGAGAAGCGGGCGTCTTAAACCTCCGGGCCATCACGACATGTAGCATTAGCGTTAAATTAGTATTTCTATTCAACATCTTCAATCTCCACAGTGTCGACATAAGAGGGTTAGTCATAATCTCCATGTTTGACTAGCCGGTTGTAGATTGATCAGAGAATTTTGATTCAGGGTTTCTGATAAATATTGTAGTCTTTAGTGGACTTATCCTATTCGTAGTCGCGTTGTCCTGTTACAACTATGACAACCACGAAAATGCTAGTCTTTTCGTGGTTGTCGTGGTGCTGACAATTGTATTTTACTCTGTTGGCAAGGCTAATTGAACAAGATCGGAGAATCAACTAAGATTTTATTTAGTTCAATATTTGTCCACCTGCATAAATTATCTCGTATCTCTATAAATATGAACTTGAAGCGAAATGACTTCCAGTCTATCGGAAGAGAAAGCCGATCAAGATAGAACATTATTGATCATTCAATATTACACCTGATAATCATAGAGACATAGATTATAGATTAGTGTATATTCTTAGAATGAGTAGGATAATTGTAAGTACGGAATAACCTTAAAATATACAACACTCATCTCGGGATTCATTGATGGGGATTTTTAATGAATACTAGGCTGAACAGAGGTGATCTACAGCGGTTGACAGTTCACTACTAAAATATGGGCTCCCATGAAAGTGTTTGCTATAAACCCTACGCTTGGCAGGCGGGTCGGCGGCTTGAAGATCACAGTATAAAAGTTCAACATTTGCCAGACTGCTGTTGTCTGGTCCTTGATTTTGCCTCGTATGTTATAAAATAAAAGTCAAAGCATTTATTTCAATTAAACCATAATTTGGTACTTTTGAAACGTCAACAAATTCAAAATAAATAATAGTCTGTCAGTCAGTCCGTCAGTGAAGCTAGGTGAAGGTAGGTGCTCATTCCTAAATTTAGATTCGAATGGAGAAGAACGAGCAAGAAACTTCATTCGTTACTCTTTTTCAAAAAAGTATGTTCTACAATGTCTCTTGATTGCCACGTTTAACGCATTATACTAATTACAAAACTTACGAAAATAAAAAAAAAATCGTATAGTCTAACATGGTGCTCACATACGCATACTGACAATCCATAAAAATAGTACTTCTATACAAGAAAAAGCAAACTCTTTGCTTCAATAAAGAAATAAATGCTCGATGCAATAAACCAAACTATTGCCAGATTTGCTACAAATTTTGCACTCAAAGCTATTCCACATTCTCGTCAACCGAAACCACAGCAAATTGACCAATGAATGCAACGTTAGTATTAAATATTACTTATCATTTAAGTATTGAATAATTATTCAACAAGTTGACAGATGAAAATACTTGGTACTAAGTAATTTACATGTCGTAAGGCTAATTACTAACAGTAGTCTTGTAGAAATGAGTAATTATAGGCTAAGAAAGAAAGTAGACTGATAGACTGGTTTCCTATACCGGGTTATGTGGGGAAAACCCCATTTATTAAAGTAATTTACTACTTATGTATAAAATGTCTTGGAAGTAGTATGGCTCTAGATTTTGCCCAGTGTATGTAAGGTAATAAAAATGATTCACTTTATATGTAAAATAAAAAATCTTATGGGATTCTTAACATAATTGATGGAAATGAGAACTTTTTGACAAAATAAAACAAAAATGTTACAATAAACGACAAAATATAAAAATACCTGTTGCAGAAAGAATCACAATCTTCATTTTGATGTAATATAAAAGTGATCATTTTCTTTTTGTAAGAAAACGTGATAAAATTTTGCAAATTATATGCATTTTGATACCCTATTCAGCCAACAGGAAAAGATAAGTAATGTGTTTTCATTAATTCTATTTCATCCCCGCCTAATGTGTGGTAGTATTATTCTGTGAAACAATGACGCGAAGTGACCAGCCCGAGTGGTGCTGGCCAGTGTGACGCTAACTGTACAGTGAGGCGCGCGCAAACTGTGCGCTCCCCAACGCGCATGAAGTGATACGAAAGTGCAAATTAAGAAAAAATGGTCTGCAAAATACTACCAAAAATACAGAGCCGTAAGTACTATTTTCGGTTTTATTTTTATATAATTTATTCACAAATTAAATGTAACTTTATTCATTTAAATGTAACTTCTTAATTTTACTTAAGTAAGTACGATAAAATATTTTTTGTGTAATCAACTAATCATAGTAATATTTATTACTCAACTAGTTTAAGTATGAGTTAGGAATCGAACCCGTAATCGTGGAAAATCCTCAGTTTCACCGGCACGTAACATCGTTATCGTGAAACGCTCGCACTAACTTAGAAAACGGAAAATATACGATAAAGCGGCAATAAAAAGCTATTGAATGTATTGTACAGCTGTAAAAATCTGTTAGAAATTGCAATTTAGCGCTATCAACAACATAATTACGATTAAATACTCAAACTTATATAAGGATAAGTAAGTATTAATATCCGTTTTCATCTACCTTTCATCTTAAGGAGCTCCTAAGCTGAGATAGGTGACATTTGCTTTTTACACATAACACAGTACACGTAAGGGGTTAGCTTAGGGGCTTCGTAGGGCTAAGTAATTCTGAATTAAAAGATGATTTAGGAGTAAAATTGCAATAATTTTCTCAAATAGTTCTTGTTATTTAATTTTAAACGATTTTTATCGTACCTAAATTATTCATTATAATAGGTTAGTTATAAAAATGATTTCGATTTATTTTAATACTAAATTAAATGATTTGAGTAAATGATCATTTTAAATGAAAATAATAAACATTAATCCGATTACCTTATTAATTTAATTATATTATTTTTCATTTAAAATGAAAAACATAAAAGTTAATAAATACAGTTACAGTAATAAGAAACACCATTATTTATTTTCATTCTCAATTATCTTTGATCATTTAATTTTGCAATGAAAGATGTGTATTGTAAACACATGTATGTATGTATGTATGTATGTGTGTATGTATCTAATACTTTTTATTATAAAAGTGAAGAGTTTGTTCGTTGTTTTTAAACCACTGATCCGATTTGAATTTTAAATAATTATTTTTGTGTTTGATAGTGCATATCGAGGAAGGCTATAAGCCATAAAACATCACGCTATGACTAATAAGAACCGAGCAGCGTATGAAACCGCACGAATGTAGTTAGTGTATGTATGTATGTATGTATGTATGTATGTATGTATGTATGTATGTATGTATGTATGTATGTATGTTAACACATAACATGTTATGTTTGAATGAAGTTATCAAACTTATGATTCAGCTCCACAACACACATCCGACATTTGCCATAGAATTGTTTATATTACATTGTTCCGGCCTCATTGTAATGATTTGCTTTGGTTATTGTCGTTTAAGATGGACGGATGATTGTTCAGAGTAGATACATATATTGGGTTCGATTACTGACTGCGGTTCAATCGATTAACTATTAAGTATCTAGGTTTATTAATGATTTTTCGGCTTACGTAATAATTTGACAAGGAACTCGACTAGTTTCAAGCCATACTGGAGGTTCATATTCATGAGCAGCATTCCCCGATAAATGACGTGTCGTGTAAGCCGAAAAACATAATTATTAGTATTTCCACGAACGTTATAATATAGAGGTGTTTTGATTTTAAAGATCCCACTGTAATAGGATAGCATCTGAAATTGTATAATGTCTTTGTCTTTTTATTATAAAACTAGCGACCCGCCCCGGCTTCGCACGGGTGCAATATGCATGATATAAACCTTCCTTAAGAATCACTCTATCTATTAAAAAAAACCGCATCAAAATCCGTTGCGTAGTTTTAAATATCTAAGCATACATACGGACATACAGCGAAAGCGACTCTGTTTTATACTATGTATTGATAGTCCTGTTATAAAACGAGACTAATATACATTATGCTAAGTTCTGCACGAGATTACCACGCGATAGAGGGGTAAAAATGGTAATATATACATATATTGTAATTCCAAAACTTAACTACCTCTATATACCCAATTTTTTTTAAGGGGGAAAATCATCGGATGACTTCTCCTGTCTGCCATAGCCTTAATATGGAACGTCTGACTGTATCGTTGGCCAAGTGGTCGCAAGTGCGACTGCCGGTCAGGGGATCTCGGGTTCGATTCCCGGGTCGGGCAAAATGTAACTGGTTTTTTTTTTAATCTCAGTTGTAGCACGGAGTCTGGAAATGTGCTCGGTATATGGCAATAGACACACCCATTATTACATGGGACTCATAACATAAATAGTGAAAAGTGGGTGTTACATTGTACAGTGGCACTAAGTGTCGTAATGTGCACCTCTGCCTACCTCTTCGGGGATAAAAGGTGTGATGTTATGATAATGATGTTAAAGTTTTATTTCTTTCTTTCTATGTTATGCTTAATATAGAATGAACAAGCATAGAATGATGGGATCTTTAAGATAAGTCTAATGGCTAAATGCACAATGCCCTATACTTATCTAGACCTACCATTGGGGATAGCGTTTCGCGATAAATACTAGTTTATTCTAGAATAGTATATTATGAAGTGTGTGTGAGTTTGAACCAACGACACAATATAAATAAATATTGTATTGTAAACCTGATTGAAAAAGAGTAACCTATGGAGTTTCTTGCTCGTTTTTTTTTTAGGAATCTACACTTAGGAACGAGCAAATAGCTTCACTAGAGGACTGAACTACAGACTGAAATATGTTTTTTAAATATTTTGTTTTGTAGTTCAAAAGGGCTTTCCTGGTCTAATTGAAATAAATGATTTTAACTTTGACTTTGTGCGGCTGGTTTAAAATATACAGTTTAAACTAGTCAGCTATTGGTTAAGCAAATATATGATTTGAATGATCACTCTGAATGAATCTATTTGTATATATGATTAATAGATATAGAAATTTGACACATTTTTTATTATGAAGATTGGGTCATCGTTTTATCTCTATTCTGTGGTTTGTGATATGTAAACTTGGATTACGTGAAGAAAATTAATAATATATCATGTGCGATTGTGGATATATAGTAAATTAATAATTATATCAGTTAAGTTTACTGGAGCCTCGGCCTACTTAACTTAATTACAACTATTTAACTTCTTTTATTTAATATAATATACACACATAACATCACGCCTTTTATCCCCGAAGAGGTTAGAGGTACTCATTACGGCACTTAATGCCACTGTACAATGTAACATCCACTTTTTACTATTTATGTTATGAGTCCCATGTAATAGGAGGTGAGCCTATTGCCATATACCGGACACAATTCCAGGCTCCGTGCTTCTTACTACGTACTGAGATTATTTTTAAAAAGCCTGTAATCCTTTGCCTGATCTGGGAATCGAACCCACTCGGCCAACGACGCTGTCTATTTAAATTCTACTGACTATATAGATAACTATTCAAACAGAACTATTTTATTTAATATTACTTTGCACATCTCTATTGAAAAAATATGTTGCACTTTCATCTTCTTGCAATTTTTTTTTAAATTTTAAAACTACATTTAATTAATGCTAATCAACATAATTTCTTAGCCTCAATGCCACTAAAAAACACTATTATAATATTAACTGAAAATAACAGTTACTCGCGTAAATATACTGCGAAAAGCTCAACTAGTTCCGAGTCACAGAGGGACGAGCAGCGGGACGAGGGCTTCGCGACGTCACCGAGACCACGCACACTGCTCATAAGGAAGATTCCAAAGTGTCTAACTCGTTTTTTTTAGTTAATTCAATGTCTCACGATCATCATCATCATCAATAGCCCATACATGCCCACTGCTGAGCAGTCACACGGAGAAGGTTTGAGCATTAACCACCACGCTTGCTCAATTCGGGTTGGCGATTTCAAACTTATAATTATAAATTATAAGGCCAGGTTCCCTCATGCTGTTTTCCTTCATCGTTTGTTACTGGTGTGTACTTAATAATATAAGAAAGTATGTACTCGTAAAAAGTCACATTGGTACTTGCCATTGGTAGATTTGGAAACCACACCCTCATCCATGAGGAACGGGCGTCTTAAACCTCCGGGCATATTTTGTCTCACGATAGTTATTAAAAGAATTATAATCATAATTACTGGGTAAAACAACTATATAAATCTGATAATTTTAATTCCCCTAACAAATCTTATACTCGCTCTTAACCAAGTCTTCCGAGTAACGTAAGCAATAAGTACATACATCGTCCCCGAGATGAAACAATGATACAAAATAAAATAACACTCGCCTGCATCCATTGTGTGGTCTGCACATTGTATTGCCTTTATGAGATGTCTTACTTAGCGGCACTGCGACGGAATTGTTATAAAATTATTGCCATAATACCTATAACAATTTTAGTTATTTTCCGGGGTGCTATAGGTAGATACCACAGAAAATACACTCCGAATCTTAAGAGTCTGGAGTTGTATTTCCTATCAAAGCATCGGGCTCACTGTCTGTATCAAACAAAACGATGGACCATTTCATAATTGGATTTTGCAACGACTTTAAACTGACATTAATATTTTTATGTTTAAGAAATAAATACAAATTAAATACCACCGAAATCGACAAAAGTTATAAACTGTCTCTAAAAGTTATAAAAACAATACGATGTGCACTTTTTAAACGAAAAATGCGTATCTTTCACATACGTTAGAAAGTTATGCAGAAGCGGCAAAACAAAACACTGCAATTTTGACGAAAGGGCTCACTCGAGTGATATGTCACAGCCTGTCCCGTAGATGGGGATAGAAACAAAGAGACAAACAGTGTTTCTTGCGTGTGTGAATTATAGTTTCTTAGTATTGCCTGTATTCCATATTAGGGATACTATTCCATATTTGGTCACTTTCCTCTACTTACTGTTGTCCATGGCTTCCGTACGATTTCAAACTGTTTTGTTATTGATATTTCTCAATGAATAGGAAGGTCTATGTATTGATATTTACCATTACCATCGACCTGACTTGTCCAATGATATTAAACACGTTTATTAATTTATTTTTCCAGCTACGCGGCGGCCGCCTAGCAGTGATGCTCAGCAGGATGCGATGCCGGAGGTGGCTGATTATGAAACAGCTCTAGACATTGCTGGTAAGTTCTTTGATTATTTTTTAATACTGCCACACACTAAGAGTATATCTTGTGTGTCCCGCGTTGGAATTGAACCTACACAATGCTAGATGTGTAAATGGAACATCGTCACGTATTAATCGAATTCAGATCAGACTGATATTTTCAAAAAATTGTTTTGAAAAGAAGTAGTCGTTGGGTCCCATTTTATTACATTCTTCTTTACTGTTGTTTTTTTCGGAATCGATAACTTTATAGGTAAGTAGTGGTACATTATAATGTGTTTATTAATTTTAACAAAATAGCAAACCAGTTTGATAATGAAAACAAAAACATCAACATCAACAAATATTTTGGGTCAATTAAAAGTATTTTGTGGTTTTAAATCATTTGATACCATCACTGTTCACTGTTCATTCAATATTTTCAAAAGTCAAAATCATTTATTTCAATTAGACCAGGAAGGCACTTAACAATAGAAATTTAAAAGTGAAGCTATAAATTATAATTATAAATAATTTATTGTTTATTTTACTTGTTCATTAATCGTTTTGTCATTCCATACACATTTATTTAAGTTACCCTAATGTGAGACAGGCAGGAGGTTATGTATAAATTTATTTAAATTGCAATTATGTAATGTACTTAATAGTAATATTAGGTACATTAAATAACTGGTTTAAAGTAGTTATTACCAATTGTGTTGGTGTTCCTCTAGAGAAAAAGAGACGTTACCTAGAAATTCCTTTCTAAGTATCGGACAGTCATATCAATGATAAATACTTTTCAGTTTTCTTAAAACTGCATTCGTACGTCAATGACTTCTTACTAGGAAGCTACTGGAGAAACCATATTGATGATTATCGGAATACCATTAATTTTTAGATGGGTCAATGGAGGGAAATGACCAATCGTCGCAATCATCACGTATTGATGATTCTTCCTCACGAGGGAATGATGTAATCTTGTTGATGGGATGAGCTAGATTACTTGTTATGTATCATGTCACTATCCATAATAAGTTCTTTGATACTAAAAAAATTATACCACCAGATGTCTACACTTCTGGTAGTTAGTAGGCATTTTGTTTTAACCGTAGTCATAGCAGAAAGACTGTGGGCTCACTGCCAATGCAGCGGTAAGTCCTCTCTTTGAGGACTGGCTTGAGAGACGCTACGGCGTCCTCACCTACCGCCTGAAGTTAGTCTTCACTGGACATGGGAGCTCCGGGAGGTACCTGTGTCTGATAGCGCGGGAGGAAACGCCCGGGTGACATCACTGCGAGGACCGCCTTGAGGACCCTACTTGGGCTCAGGGATGTGGTCGGCGACGGCGACCTCTCGCGTCTGGCCCTAGCCATGATGCGGAGCGAGGGGGACTGGGATGCTGTCACCTCCTTTTGCGAAGCAGTCATACTAGTTTAGGAGGGAGCGGAAACAATCGACGTCACCCATGAACTTTCGAAACACCAGAGGCGTTACAAGTGCGTTACCGGCCTCTTGGGGATTAGGAATTTGAGGAATGTTGGGGTTTTGGGGTTTGAGGAAATTAGGGAGGGAGGTAATTGGGCCTTCGGTAACCCTTTGGAATAATAATCGTATTCTACATCTCACTTGAATACACGTGTTGCATTAACTTATGGTTCAAATACAATCTCAGTTCAAGTAGTACAGTATTTTCACGTGCGTGAATAATAACAATTACTTAGTTTTTAATTGCCGTCGCGTCTTGTTCCGTCGCCATATGATCGATAGTAATTGCTTCACGCTGTTTAAATAGATCTATGTGTTCTAATTGTGTGGTGTATTGTGTTCATTAGATATTAATTATATCAATCATAATTCTGACCCAACTGTCTCTTGTTGTTTTCTATAGCGACCCTTCAAGGGCTTATGTTAACGTCTGTACTTTACTCGGAGATGCCCTCAGACATAGTCCTACCTACACCTACGCAATAATTCGTCACACTTCAACAATCGACCATCTGAAAGATAGCAGTTATCCAAAGATTGTAATATATTTTTAAGTCAGTTAATAAAAGAAGATTAATTGGCATTATTATTTAATAAAGTTTGAAAGGTTAGTGATGGAAATAAACTTCGGTTAGACGCTAACATGTTGTTTTTTATGACGGGAGAAAATCATCAAGTCACTTCTTCCGCCCTGGGTGGCACTAGATATATCAGTTTCTTACTGACTAAAAATCACCCTTTTCCGTCTCCTGCTTTGAGCCGGAGTCCCGGTAACCCCTGGGGTTCTCCGCAGGGAGTTCAAATACCAAAATGCATAGCTAACAATACTAATATAATTTAGGTATAATACCTACTTTATCTTATCATCAAACAGTAACTAGACAAATTTCATTGCTATCGTATTTATTGAAATATCAATAGTTTCACGTATAGATAAACTTTAGCACGTTGCTATGAATAGACAGTCAGAGGTATTCGTCCTGTGGTTGATACGACGATGATGACATATCTAATTAAGATAATAATATAAGGTTTGATCTAGTTACATAGAAATTACTACTATTTTATTTATTTATTTATTTACTAGCTGCCCTGGTAAACTTCGGTCCGCCTAAAATTTTTTTTTTTCACCTTTTAAAGCTTCCCTTGACTTCTACGAACAAATTCAATACCAAAATTAGCAAAATCGGTTCAGTATTTTCGAGTTTTAGCGAGACTTATAAACGGAAATTTCTTTTTTATTTATATAGATAGATAGATTTACACTTTTTGTACAATATACAATGGCGGACTTAATGTCTAGTGGCATTCTCTAACAGTCAACATTAGGGTGATGCAGAGCTAGGTGATGTTATTTTTAATGCAATATTGGAATTGGCTGGATAACTGCACTGTTGCACTGCACTACTGCATGGTTGGCGCAGTGGCTGGGCAATTGGCTGCCGCGCAACGTGTCGCGGGTTCGATACCCGCATGGGACAACTCTTTGTGTGATCTACAGGTTATTGTTTTGGGTCTGGGTGTCATGTATATGTGAACTTGTATGTTTGTAAACGCACCCACGACACAGGAGAAGCTCCTAATGTGGGGAACATCTTTAAAAAAAATAATAACTGACGGTTGCGTAAAATGTTCGATGCATTTTTTATTCCGGGTCTTGGTGCGGTATGCAAGTAAAATTATGTGTTCATAAACGTATCTATGACACAGAAGTTAACAAATCATAGGGAGAAACAACACTTTCAAGTGTGGGAGAGCCATGCTTCGGCACGAATGGGCCGGCTCGACCGGAGTGATACCACGGCCGAGCAGAAAACCGACGTGAAACACCGCTTGCGTTATGTTTCGTCGTGTGAGTGAGGTTACCGGAGGCCCAATTACATTTCTGTCTTAAAACTGAAATGAAAACCTCCAATACATAAGTGTTGATTGTCGTTTAAAGTAGCAGTTAGGCTGAACAGTTATGTAAGTAACTGGTAAACAGAGTTATTTCTAGACATAACACCAAATTCGTTTAGTATACATTAGCGTTTAGGAAAAACTGTTTAGTAAAGTGAACTTTAACACATACATATAGGTAGGTTTTTAATTAACTCGTCGAGTACCGGTTTTGTAGACACAATTATAGAACAATAGGTTTTTTTTTTTTTTTTTTTTTAAGGGGGGAAAATCATCGAATGACTGCCCCCGCCTGGGTGAGGCGGGAGGGAGTGTCAGACTCTTACTGACTAAAAACCACCCCGTTCCTTCTCCTGCACGTCGAGCCGGAGCCCCGGTTACCCGTTAGGTTCTCCGCGACTCCGAATCGGCATCGGCCCTATTGGGCCCCATCTGTGGTGGTCTGATGGCTCTTTGAGGCGCGCGCGGAACGCGACGCGCCGTACGCTCGGGTCTGTTTCTGGTCGGACGGGGAGCCACCCATGCTCGCCGTCCGCAGGCTCGCGCTTACGGTGGCCGGAGATCGTCCCGCGATCCCCGACGCCCGGTGTGTCCTTCGCGATGGCTGGGTTGCGAGGAATAGAACAATAGGTTGCGGTCACCGGTGACCGCTTGGTGTTTGACAGTTTAAAAAAAGAAAGCATCAAAAAATTTGTCCGCATCGACGTCAATAGTGAAAATACCCAGAAGGCTGGCAACATTGCCAGCACTGGTCACGAGATTCTTCGACCAGCCGTTTCGAAATGTTTTTAAATAAAGTATAGGCACTCGAACCCCACGGACCTAACGTCTCAACCCCAAACGGCCATATATACTATAAAATTATAGTTTCCAATAATATTCTATTTTAAGTAAAAGCAATAGAAAGGTCGTCGACCTCATTACTGTGGGACATATTATAGCCTGTGCCAACTTTAATACGATACTAAACTTATGTTTTAATGACGATGATTTCTATAAATAAATAAACGATGGGACTTGACGTACTGCTTAGGTTACCATTTTATTACTAAGGTTCACAGTTTTATAGAAATTTCTCTATTACAGGTAATATATAAAACTATTTGTTTATGTTAAACTAGCTTTTACCCGGGCTTCGCTCGCGTCACAAAATGATAAAAAGTAGCCTATGTGACATATACCAACACACACAGCGCCATCTATAACAATACTTTTGTTTTCCCTCGGGAATATAAATTTATTCCGGAATAAAAAGTACCCTATTATTTAATCCGGACCTCTAACTTTACGTCTGCAAAAATTCAAAGCAATCGGTTTAGTAGTAGTACAAACAAACAAACTCACTTTCCGATTTATAATATTAGTAAGGATTGGTTTTAATAAGCTCTATTTTACCAATCAAGCTCTTTCCTTAGACATTTAGAATGGAGACAGTTGTGTGTGGAAGAACTTGGATTATCGGGACGACGGTTAAAATTCCAATACTAGGCCCAAACAAACAAATGAAAAACGAAATACAAACGTTTAATTATTTAAAAAAAACATATTGACAATGTATGTACCTCTATGTATGTTTGTGCGCGATTAACCAGCGATTGGCTGCACCAATTTTGATGCGGTTTTCAGAAAAATCTTTGTTATATTTAGGAGAAGGTTTGTGTATCTATATATTATATAAATACTTCAAAATAAGAGAGGGTGTTACATTGTACAGTGGTATAATGTGCACCTCTGCCTACCCCTTCGAGGATAAAAAAGGCGTGATGTTATGATGTTATGAATAAGAGAGGGTTGAAATCGGTTTTATTAAACGAAGTTACTAATGTTTACTTTAGTATTATAAAACTAAAGTAAACATTAGTAAGTGACCATCAGTTCCTCTTGAATGGACCTTTGAACAGAAGGCTGAACCTGCCTGTGTGTAGGTATTTTAAAATTGCACCTGAAATAATAATTACATATCTGACTATCTCCAAAGAATAGATTGTTAGTATTAAAGGAGATAGTCGAGTTATTGTATAGTCTAGATTTCAGGTATAATAATATATCTCTAATAGTGTTAGCCTTTAGGCGTTAGGCCTTTGTGTTTATTGATAATATCGCCTCTTTCTTTGTTTTTCTTTATTAACCGTTGGCCCCCTCCCCCCATTACGATTTTCTTTAGTGTCATACAATTTCAAATATACATGACACCCAGACCCGGAACAACAATCTGTGGATCACACAAAGAGTTGTTCCGTGCTAAGAGGAATCGAACTTGCGACACGCTGTGCGGCAGCCAGTTGCCCTGCAACCGTGAAGTCAAAGTCTTTATTAAGTCGTTATGTGACACTTTAATCCACTGGCTTAATGAATGTTGGATGAATGGATGAATGAATGAATGAATGGAAAAGGAAGGATGAATGTTTGTTATTCATACACTCAAATTTGGAACAGAGATAGATTCAAATCTGGAATAACATAGTTAGTTTTTTTTCTGTGTATATCTATAATTTTGCTATTGCCAAGCACAATCAGATTAATCCGACAACAATGCAATTGAAGTTAGATTTACTTAGTAATCTAGATTTAATCTTGTGTCGAGAAGAAAGTAGCGCGTGTCTTTGCACGTGTGAACATTCGTCATCAACTAATAATACTCTTACAAATGTATCGTAGAAAAGTTAATAAAAACTCTTGGAACATTTCATACAATTAACTATTATAGCCATTTACTAAATATTATTGTTCCAAGATCTAGTGTTGAAAAGATACCATTGTTACCTTTCTCGTACGTATAAATTAACGTGAATTCAATTCGTAATCGTTGTGACTTCTATGACGTAAGCATTGCCACTGTTTTCACACTAAGATGTGTTTTGTAGTCACTTATTATAGTGAGAACTTTGTAAGTAGTAGGGGTTCTTTTAAAGATGTTGAATTTCGAACTTTAGTGCCATGGTGATAATGTGTGTTATTGATTGATTTTGAACATGTTTTAATATTTTGATTTGGCAAGTGCATCAATAATTTTGAATTTGTTTTAATATTTTGATTTGCACAGCTGCATAGCACATGCTTGAGATGTAAGAAAGAGAGATGTAAGATAAGTTACCACCCCTGCTCTCCCCGTGGGTGTCGTTGGACTACATCGGCTAAAGATCGGGGAGCAGTACCTAATTTTTTTTTATTCATACATATAAATAAAGTCGTGCTAGTTACACTATTTATAACTCAAGAACAGCTAAATAGTTTTGGATGAAAATTGGTTAGGAGGTAGCTTAGAACCAGGAGACGGACATCGGGCATAGGATACTTTTTACACAAGGATTTTCGAAAAATCCTACACAGTTGCGAGCAGAAGCCGGTCTGAATTTTTTTAATTACGATCTCTAACCTGGCCTAGCCTGTCAATTGTGGGGATTATAGAAAATCTTTGTATTTAGATTTAGAAAATGTCTACAATTCAACATTTACTGTCACAATCTATTGATGGTAAAACACACTTAGAATACATTATACCAATATAATATAGATACGTTTAGACAGTTTAGTTTTGCTTATCCAAACCAAGACAGTACATCTCTCTGATGTTATTACTCGAGCCACGTACGACTGGCTCGCATTCCTATTTGACAACTAAACATGCTACAAACTAGACATTATCTATGATCTATATTCTAGATTTTAGTGATAATTATTGCTGACGTTTTCGCTTGCTGACTGTTTCGTTGGCCGAGTGGCCGCAAGTGCGACTACCGGGCAAGAGGTTCGATCCCCGGGTTGGGCTAAGTGGGTTTTCGAAAAAAATCTGGAATTGTGCCCGGTAGATATATGTATGTATATAGCGATACCCCAATGCCGATATTACATGGGACTCATTACATAAATAGTGAAAAGTGTGTGTTACATTGTACAGTGGCATTAAGTGCCGTATTGTGGTCCTTTGATAAAAGGCGTAATGTTATGTTATGTTTTTGCTTATTAGTTTTGATTATGAATTTGTTTCTACTATGCTGAGCTAGGCTGCAAATTAATGTTTTGCAAAATATAAAATCTGAAATGAATTTTAAGGGGGGGAAACCATCGATTGTCAGATTTTTACTGACTAAAAACCACCCCGTTCCTTCTGCTGCACGTCGAGTCGGAGCCCCGGTTACCCGTTAGGTTCTCCGCGACTCCGAATCGGCATCGGCCGTATTGGGCCCCATCTGTGGTGGTCTGATGGCTCTTTGAGGCGCGCGCGGAACGCGACGCGCCGTACGCTCGGGTCTGTTTCTGGTCGGACGGAGGGCAACCCATGCTCGCCGTCCGCAGGCCCGCGCTTACGGTGGCCGGAGATCGTCCCGCGATCCCCGACGCCCGGTGTGTCCTTCGCGATGGCTGGGTTGCAAGGAGGCAGCGCTTCGCTGCCTCACGCGTCCCGCCTCCTCCTTAGCTAGCATGACTGCTTCGCAAAAGGAGGACACGGCATCCCAGTCCCTTCTAACCGGGTTACGGGTTACCGGAAACCCGTTAGGTTCTCCGCGACTCCGAACCGGCAACAGCCCTATTGGGTCCTATCCGTGGTGGTCTGATGGCTCTTTGAGGCGCGCGCGGAACGCGACGCGCCGTACGCTCGGACATGTTTGGGTATACGTGTTCGTTTTTATTAGTAAACATGGATGTTGTTCCATGGAATATGTTTTAATTGCATAATTGTTATTACATAATAGGTAATAGGTTAAGTAGGTAGTTAAATAGGTAATGTGTGATATTTTAGTGCACTTTAAATTACGTCTTATAATACCTGTTAAAGGCTTTGATAAGAGAAAAAAATGGTAGTGTTTCACATTTATCATCTCACCGGTCGCCATCGACAGGGTGTTCCCGCTCACACATTGGAAACGGTCCCGTACAGTTAGGTTTCAGAGGAATTTTCTCCCACAGACCCCTCCGATTGTGGAATGAACACCCTGCCGTGGTTTTCCCTCAATAAACTACAATATGGGGTTCTTCAAGAAGGTAGTAGATAAGTTTTCTAAGGGTCGGCAAAGCGCATGTAATGCTCCAAGTGTTGCAAGCCCTACATGCCACGGTAAACGCTTACCAATAGGTGGGCCGTGTGCTTTTCTTGCCACCATCGTGGTATAAAAAAAAATACATTTACATATAATAATATAATAATAAATTGGAATAACATAGGAACCATTTTGTGTTAGTATGCGTCTTTTAAACTACAGCTTAAATACTAGGGTTAGTAGGTAAAAATTACTTTAAACAGTGCATTAATTAATGAGTCACGTACTTGATGCCTAAGCACAGGCGCTCTCAGGTCCTCAGGCCCTCAGCCATGACTTCCAGAATACTATTGCCACTTCCCGAAGCCTCCTCACAAGCGAAGCCAATATAAATCGCTATAAATTATTTTGTTTTTCCAAAAACACAAAATCAATGTGGGGTTATCGTTCGTGCCCATCAGATATCACTGATGTTGCCCCAGATATTATTTGCTTACACTCGTTTTGAATGCATTAACATTGTTTATAGTTAAATATAATAAAACTTATTAACAAATTATTTTCCTTCTACAGGATACGGCCGCTTCAGTAGGAGCGTGCTGGGCGCGTGCGCAGTATCGTTCTTTGCATCAGGAGTTCAGAACTGCGTGATGTCATACGTCCTGCCTGCTGCCAGGTGTGAGCTCGAACTCACCACTTATCAGGCTGGGCTGATCAATATGGCGTTTATGAGCGGTAAGTTCATTTCTAGAAGAGGTGATTGAAGATTGAGTCATTGGATTTGTTGACTGTAGAGTCAAGGGTTCCAGGTATCCAGGTTGTGAAGTCGTTGTATTAGACTTAGTAATAAAGTTATAAAAGTAGTTGTATTAGGTGTTTTTTATATATATACGGAGTTCAGGAATTGTGGACGGCGAATGATAATAGGTAATATACCATTGTAAATTTTTAGTGGAACTTATTATATCGGCGAAAAATATTGCTTACTACAGAGAAAATGCGATGCCAATATAAATACTTTTGTTAAAAACTGAGAATTGAAAAAAAAAAATTTTATTTTAATTGTTTTGTTCGCATCAAATAACCAAAATTTACTAATAAAAAAGGTTTTCAGACGTATTGCTATGAGACATTTTTTTGTCTGGTGTTTTTGTGGTCAGAATAAACGCTACGTCTGATATTGGTATTTTTGAGTTCAGGATAATCGTATCTATCGATTTGAGGCGGTTTTGGCCGTATTGTTATGAGACAAAAATTTTGGTCGTCATCTCTCTATTTGGACGGCCCCAGAATAGTACTAAGAGGAATTGAGTAAGTGGTAGCGAAAAATCGATCAATAAGTTATTCATTGTATAAAAAAATTACATACATAGGTAACTTAGGTACTACTTACCGCATCATTGCTTACCACCAGGCGAGATAGTGGTCAAACGTCTGCCAATCATCAATACATAGTATAAAACAAAGTCGTTTTCGCTGTATGTCCGTATGTATGCTTAGATCTTTAAAACTACGCAACGGATTTTGATGCGGTTTTTTTTAATAGATAGAGTGATTCTTAAGGAAGGTTTGTATGTATAATACATGCATATTGCACCCGTGCGAAGCCGGGGCGGGTCGCTAGTATATAATAAAAAAAACGTATGGTATATCTTTGTTACAGCTTAACAGTGGAACAATTAAGTAAAATTTATCGTCATTACTTTCAACCACTACCTATCTGGTCAAGACACTTACAATACGCACTTACCAGATACCGTTGTGCATCGTAAAATCTCTGTTTATAGGGTTCCGTATCCTACATGAATGTAAAGTCCTAAGACTTTGCTGTCCGTCTGTATGTCAATATTACATCCAGGGTTATGTCATGGACCGTTATGACTAGACTGTTGAAACTTTGAGAGATACTGTGTTTCTCTTGCTACTACAGCAAGAAAAGTTTAAAAACAAATTGATATTTGTGTGGCACCACATGGTACATGTCAACGGATGACGTCACAAAAATCCTACATCGCACATGCAAATTAACATGGATAGAAAATCCCAACGAACAACTGTTGGGCAGAAAGCCCGCCAGGCACAATCACCTCGCTGGTCGGAGGATCCTCCTTTTCCGATCTTAGAGAACTTTCCACTCTGTTCTCCAAATTTGTATAAAGCTCGATGAAATACTGAACACAGTGGGAAATCACTGGTCAGAAAAAGCTTTAGACAGAGATCAATGGAAAAAAACGGAGGAGGCCTTTACTCTGCAGAGAGGTCCTTAATAAATATTAACATACATTTTTATATGCATGAAAATCAATTAATTATTTATAAATTTTGTGTAGTATATTTTTTTCTCTAAATTTTAAATAAAATATGTTAAATTGTTACCACAAATTTATATTATGAAATCCGATATTGTAAAAAAAAACATGTAAATCGATTGTTAAGGAATAAATGAGGCTTTACTATTATTAGTATAAAGCTTACATTCAACAAATGCAACTTTTTAAAGTTTACAATTTCTCTTCGATAGCTACCTACATAAACTATGCCACACTTTGCGCGTCAAATTCACACTTGACCAATTTCTTAGGTTAGTTTGACGCGTGTCGTTAAAATTTTTATAGACTGCGAAATAGGTTATTCTTTTATGAACCTGAAAGGTTATTTGGAATGTCACTGAACACTAGGTCAACTGTACTTAGTCTGTAAGTCATATATAACGGCTAAATTATCTTGTTTATTATTCTACCCACCTCCTACTACTACGGATTTTTATTAGCATGATAGTAGGGAACCTCGATTTGATACTAGTACAATCAGCTTAGTTCTCATAATGTACCCAAAACCTGTGTAACAACAGCATATTTGCATTAACAATAGACCTTAAGCTACATTTAACGCCTCTAGTAACAGGAAAACATTCGTCAATATAGTTATTAGTCAAGCTATCCGAGAAAATGATCTCAAAGAGGTTAATTTTTGCCAAAAAAGGGAGTTCTCTTTCGGGAAATACCAACCAAAAAATTACACAATAATAAAACATTTAAAATCTGCGACGTCACAATGGTTGGAATTTTACAATTCTGTCATAATTTCGCGGAAGACGCACGCACGAGGCACATTTGATTTGTGATTAGATCCTGATTAGACCCTCGTTGTGAAAACAAACACATTGAGACGTATTACTATCATGTATGGGATAATAATACTAATTCACACTTAAAACAATATTTGTAGGAAGAGTAACACATTTTTTATAGTTAGAGAGATGACGACCAAAATTTTTGTCTCATAGCAATACGGCCAAAACCGCCTCAATAGATACGATTATCTTGAACTCGAAAATACCAATATCAGACATTTACCGCGTAGCGTTTGATCTGACCACAAAAACACCAGACAAAAAAAATGTCTCTTAGCAATACGTCTGAAAACCTTTTTTATTAGTAAATTTTGGTTATTTGATGCGAACAAAACAATTTTCAGACGGAAATGTGAACGCATTAAATATTGAGACCGTTTTGAAAATGTTGACAAATTTTACCGATCGGTATCATGGAAATATGTCTGAAAATTTTTGGACATGATAAAATAAGTTGTCCACATGGGCAAAAAATGTATATCAGACAAAATAAGTGTAGCACCTTCTCTATCAGACAACTTTTCGATACTCAGATATTTTTGACACAGCAGAAATGGCCTCACACGCACTTGCTACACTTTCGACCGTTACTACACACCTAGTCGGGTTCAGAATCATACAATCTAACGATTTTATAGGGGTTTTGCCGTATTGCTATGAGCCATGGTTTTGGTCGTCACCTCTCGTACTATTACTTCACTGATTGTAACTTGGATTGTAGATCAGCCTGTACCATCTCATAGGGCCTATGAGAAAACCGATGAAAAGTGGGTGGTACATCATTTAATTGCACTTTGGCCAACAAAGAGGCGTGATACAGTGTTGAAATTAACATTCTAGGCATAGAAAGTCTTCGGGTTGATACTCATTTTTTGGACGTATGTACATACAATTCTACATAAGAAACATTATTCCTAAAAAAGGGGCAGTGGGTTTGGGCGCATAAATTAGATAACTGTGACTTTCCTCCAATCACGAGAGATTTCACATACATACATAACATCACGCTTTTTATCGCCAAAGGGGTAGGCAGAGGTGCACACAGAAGTAACACCCACTTTTCACTATTTATGTTATGATTCCCATGTAATAGGGGGTGAGCCTATTGCCATATAACGGGCACTTTTCCAGGCTCCCTGCTACTACTGAGATTTTTTTAAAACCCAGTAATACTTTGCCTACCCGGCAACAGAAACCGAGACCCCTTGCCCGGCAGTCGCACTTGCTACGAGTCAGCCTACGAGGTAGTCATTAGTCAAGTATATCTAGTTACTATCTCATCTCATCGCCAGAGTTGCGAGGAGCTAGTGGATGCTATAGGCGAGTTGTCGTTCGACGTGGAGGACCAAGAGGAAGGCCTTTTTCCAGCAGTGGATGTCTTTCGTCTGTTGATGATAATAATGATGATCTCATCTCTAATACATCCAAAAGTTTTATCCTTCTATTCAATTTCCCACGACATCTTTTCCTCAAAAATTTCTACGAATTCTACGCAAATTTTCACTAGGCCATATAACGCGTTCAAAAACAATAGTCAATCATGAAAATATAGATGACAGCATATTGTCCTTATAAGATGCTAGCTTTTATCGTATACGTGGGAGTTGTTAGCGAAAACGTATGAAATTATATCATAACAATTTATAAGTACCAGCCCTGAGGCGTCTTAGTTACATAGGTACACGTACGAATAAAAAATGTATCACCGAAATATATGTATGCATATAACTTCTAAACAACTACACCAAATCGGATAATCTTTATTTTAACTTGTTTATTACTAGTACGGCAAGGTCTGTGGGGGAAGAAAAATCATCACTTTTGACAGGAATGAAAGGAAATAGTACTCGAAACCGAGGCGAACCACTTGTTATTTATACCTACAATTACCTAAACATCGTTTGGTAAAACCAGGCCTACATGTGTTTGAAACAATGACGCACTATACAATTCAGCATATCCTACTAAGACTTGTTGTGTGTTAAAACTTGAAAGAGTTAGTGATTGATATCTAATTTTACTAAGTGTATCTAAGTTTTGGTATAGGGACACCTGAGGGCTAAGCACGAATAACTATCGCATTCGTATCGTAACGTTAAGTGTTCTGATCTGCGATAGTTATACGTGCTTGGCACTCTGAGATGGCAGGAGCCTGGTAATCTCCTCAACCACCAATGAATACAGATATAGCTATGAATTGCGAGTAGACAGACTAACAGATAACATTCAACGACGAGATGTTTATAATAACTATCATGAGACATACTGAATTAACTAAAAATAATGGTTCATTTACGTAAACATACTTAGAAAAGCTCTACTACTTTCAAATCACAGAGGGACTCTTGCTTATGAACAGAGTGCGCGGCGCGACGCCGTACATGAGTAAATTGTTATTTTTGATTAAATCAACGACGATGCTAAATTACGGGTATCTCAATTTCCTAGATTAACTCAAAGTTAATAACAGTTGAATTTAAAGAAATTACTAGTCTAAAACAATACAGTGGAAGGAAACATCGCCTAGGTACTGTAAATTGACCGCTTATGTAATTCAGTCCGATTAGCTGGCGGTCTGATCGAAACAATTAAACAATCGACTCGCCCACCATCGAATCAACGTTTTCATGTTACATTAGAAGCCAAGGAGATGTAATGACTAAGGATTCGAATTGAGGACCTAGAATAAATAGGTCTTGTGTTATTAAGATTAGGAATGTTCTGTGCCTATAGTTATTAGCAGAGAAGTGTTCGTGTATCAACTTTTCTCAGTTTTGTATCATGTTGCTATTGCTACTTCGAATTGGGAAAATGACAACCCTGTCATACCCATGAGAATTAAAAATCTTATTAGTTCGTAACTTAGATAATGAAAAAATATCAGACACGTATTTTTTTATTTGGTTGTATAATAAAACAATACTTAGATAAAACGAATTAAGGTTAGGAATGGGGCTAAAACTTCATTTCTACGTATAAAATATACATAGAACGTCACGCGACATTTCAAATCAATATGTCACCGAAAGTATTCGTTTCTGTAAGAAAATAAAAATACATGTCTAATGATTTAAAATAATCTACCAGACGGACATTAAAATAAAAATTAGACATCTACCCTATTGTAAAGCAATATCTTTGTTTGATAATGTCAATCGTGACTTTTTCACTTATCCTAATACTAAATACTTATGTAACAAAGCAAAAAAAATGGATCTATTTTAACCAAAATTTTCATTCATGTATTAACTCTTCTATCTTTTTCTCCAGGTGGTGTAGCCAGTGCATTCTTCTGGGGTATAGTAGGCGACGTGTTTGGCAGAAGGAACGTGCTGAGCATGACTCTCCTACTGGACGCTACCATAACACTGGCACAGAGCGCTGTGGCTGACTACCGGTTACTGCTGGCTGCTAGAACTATCAACGGATTTGTGATAGGTATGATTCTTTATAGGAATGGACAGAAATACATATAAGGGCCCTCTGATACTTATAAGCATGTTTAGCAAGCACGTTTATTAGAAAGCTACTAATCGGTTATGTGTATAGTCCTTTTTTTTGGGGGGGCAAAATTATGCAATGTCTCCTCAAACCATGGATTTTTATTTTTTTAAGGGGGAAAAATTATCGAATGACTGCTCCCGCCTGGGTGAGGCGGAAGGGAGTGTCAGACTCTTACTGACTAAAAACCACCCCGTTCCTTCTCCTGCACGTCGAGCCGGAGCCCCGGTTACCCGTTAGGTTCTCCGCGACTCCGAATCGGCAACAGTTCTATTGGGCCCCATCTGTGATGGTCTGATGGCTCTTTGAGGCGCGCGCGGAACGCGACACGCCGTACGCTCGGGTCTGTTTCTGGTCGGACGGGGTGCCACCCATGCTCGCCGTCCGCAGTCCCGCAAACCATGGATGAGGCGAGAAAGAGAGTGTCAAACGCTTACTAACTATAAAAACCCTGTAGCTACTCCTACTTTGAGCCCGAGTCCCGGTAACCCTTATTTTGAATTCAGACCCATTATTACTTTCGTTCGGCCGCTAATTTCCTTCACCTGTGAAGTTTCAGAACGCCGTTCTACGGAAACACAATGTGTTGTCTATTGTGTCTCATATATCGACAGAAAAGAGGTCAATAAGATAACCTCAATTTACCTGAAAAGGGTTTCGATTCATCTCTTTAATTAGTAACTTATCGACACGTGTTTTGGTATTTTTCCCTTCACAAAATGTTGTAGTTGACCTATAAGTATCGCGTGATATCCCGTTTCCGTACATCTTTTATGAGATACGAGTATTTTTGTAGCAAAATCATGAAGAAACATAGAAGGGAGTATTTTTCTTCAGCTAACTGCCTCGTTGGCCGAATGTTCGCAAGTGCGATTGCCGGGCATTGGGTCTCGGGTTCGATTCCCAAGTCGGGCAAAGTTTTACTGGGTTTTTTAAAAATTCTCAGTGGTAGCACGGAGTCTGGAATTGTGCCCGGTATATGGCAATAAGCTCACCCCCTATTACATGGGATTCATAACAAAAAATAGCGAAAAGTGGTTGTTGCATGGTATTTGTGTATATATGGTGGCATAATGGTGGGTATAATGGCTATATATGACACCTACCCCTTCGGGGAAGAAACGCGTTATGTTATGATATGTATTTTTCTTCTGCTTCGATTTCCTTTAGATTTAATTCTGGGGAATTAAAGCTATCTTAGAAGGCCCTTATAAGTGCTATTTCACTCTATGATGCCTCAAATAAATGTTGTTCTAAATTTTCCTTTTCCTCATCAGGTGGCCCTGCAACCCTGGTGTTCTCCTACCTGTCAGACCTCGTGGGACCTAAGAAGAGACAACTGTACCTGAGTGTGGTTGGCATGAGTTTCATAGTCGCCTGGCTGATATTACCAGGTGAGGACACTTGATTTTTTTTATAGCATAAGCCGGTAAACGAGCAGATGGATCACCTGATGACAAGCAATCGGCGTCGCCCATGGACACTCGAAACACCAAGACGTTACAAGTGCGTTACCGGCCTTTTAGGAATTGGGAATTTGAGGATTGTGGAGGATTCGGGGATTCGGGAGACGGGGACTAGGGTAATTGGGCCGCCGGTAACCTCACTCACACGACGAAACACAATGCAAGCGCTGTTTCACGTCGATTTTCTGTAAGGTCGTGGTATCACTCCAGTCGAGCCGGCCCATTCGTGCCGAAGCATGGCTCTCCCACACTTAATGATGATTACTTCTTTAGTGGATTTTTATACAGTGCATAGGTACTTGTGATATAAAATCATTACCATCTCCAGCCCGTGACAGACTCCTTCTGAATGATGACCAAACACTGCATAAAAAGGTGTTTAAATGGCTCAAAAATATGTTATCTTATTAACAAGGGAACTAATGTATTCTATTCGCCAATTTATATAATACACACGCTTTGTATAATCATTTAATTCTAAGTTTAAGTAGACAATTCATTTCTCTTATGTACAATTTAATAAAATATACTAAGTACCAAAGACTGTGGTAGCAGATGTACTGGGGCAGTCATGAGGCAGCGTACTATAAAAATATATCTATGGACAGTATCAAAACAACCTTCACAATTACTTTCATTACAACTAGAAAGTGTATGGAAAAATCCATAAAGGAACCTAATTATTACTAGCCGAAAGTTAACAAAAAACGTAATACTTTCTATGTTACTATGCAGGTCCTTGGTGGGTGAGTTATTTTAACATAGATATTCTGTATATTTTAACTGATGTTTAATAACAATGTCAACATCTAGACTTGAACTGGTCTAACGGTTCAATACTTAAACATGGATACTTGTACAGTCGCCGTGCAAATATGATTAGTATTGATTCAATATTTTTTGTAATTATATTAATTTTATTTTCGTTACACAGCCACGACTTGTGATTTGAATGTAAAGAATATGGGTTATGACTATTCAGTCGGTTTCCTGGGTTAAAGAAGTGTTGATTTAATAGTAATATGTAGTTGTTTATATAAAAGCACAGATTACTCTTAAATAATTCTCTTTGTATCTTATAAAATACTTCTGCCTACGACTTCGTACGAACAATCCCGTTTTCTCCCGTTCCCGTCCTAATAATAACAAATACAACAAAAAAAAAAGAATTAGTGAAATCGGTCCGGCCACCCACGCGTGATACCGTGAGCAAGGGAAAAAGGGATTAAAACATTCCTAGACTAAAAAATATTTTTTATGATAATCTAATCCATGTCACAATGTGCGAAAATTGCACCCAGTCAAAGTGCAACAAAACTCAAATTAGAATGCACACCGGAAATTCTAAAACTTAATAAAATTCACCAGACTAAAACTATCGATTACTATCTTTATTTCTTTTATGCGTGACTGTACATCGCAATTAGGGATCAATGTCACACATTTGCAAGTATAAAACATGCATGCCTGGTTCCGTATAGGAGAAATTGATCGTAACCGAGATCTGTACTTAAATTAGAGGAGGAAATATTTGTTTGTTAGTGTGTTTATTTGTGTTGAATATGCTCTGAAATTGAAGCTTTTAGTAGGTAAGTAACATGGGCTATTTTTAAACCAAAACTACTGTCCAGCATCTGCATCACCTGACAGTTAAATTATTATGTTTTCGGCTTACTCACGTAATTATTTGACGAAGAACTCGACTAGTTTCAAGCCATGCTAGAGGCTTATATTCATGAGCAGCAGTTCACTACCCGCGACGCGGCGACTGTCTCGCTGCTGCTCTCGTCAAATTACAACGTGAGTAAGCCGAAAACATAATAATTTATTCAGTATGTTTCACGAAACTTATAATATACGTTTGACAGTTGTTGATAAAAGAGTAACGTAAATCGGTTCATATAATTAGTCGATGTACGTACATTATGCTATTTTAATTCGGATGTCATGTTCTTGTCTAATGTCATAGAAAAAGAAACATTATGGGAATTTAAAACCCTGTTTTTGGACAATCGATCGATTACAAAATATTTTAGGGTCCATTTTTGTCCAATTTTAAAATTCTTGCGAGTAAAGCCGCATACGGATTATTAGTGTACGAACAGATACTTAGTGTTTTTTAAATTACTAATATGTAGTTAGCCTGATGGAAATGTACCGACGTACTTTCACTTTTTTCACCCATACATACATGTGTTAGTTTTGTATTTTAAAGTCTCGTACAAGAGGTGTAAGTTCATTATTGCTCGGCCTGATTCCGATCACGATGTTAGTAATTGTATAAGAGTAAAGTGTGTGCTTTATAAGACTAGGTAATGAAGAAGAGACATACATAAGTAGTTTGTATACCTTCATTATAATGTCGAATTATTGAATGTCATTGACCTATAGAGGGATAGATCAGCTGTTTGTTAACGACATTGTTAGACTACATTTTTAAATATAATCGGAAAATACGGAAAGAATAGTGGTGACTATTCTTGCACGGCATTTGCACGGCCAACGGACCGTGCAAATGATATATTACTGGGGTTTTTAAAAAAATTTCAATAGTAGCACGGAGTCTAGAATTGTGTCCGGTACATGGCATTAGGCTTACCCTCTATTACATGGGACTCATAACATAAATAGTGAAAAGTGGGTGTTACATCGTACAGTGGCATTAAGTGCCGTGATGTGCACATCGGCCTACCCCTTCGGGGATAAAAACGTGATGTTATTTGTATCATTTGTATAAAACCACAATTTCTAACCGCATGCCAAGGATGAATACTATGGCGAACCTTTTTGTGGACTATAGCCGTTTGTTCATGATGATAGTCTTGTTCAGTCTACTGCCTACTGAAACTGGAATAATCTCATTAGTCTACTGCTTATTGGCCCGAACTACTATATTCCAATCAAAACTACAAAACTTAAATAAATTCAATGTGCATATATTCATGTACCGTATTGTTGAACCTGTCTCTATGCTTGTCTCATCATGCATGAACCTATTGTGATGAGAATTGAATTCAGGTCGATCAATCATTATTATCACATAGTCTGGTCTGATTTATGTACTATCTTGATTATATTATATAATTTTTATTTATGTACTATCTTGATTATATTACAGAAAAGGTAGACGTATAAAAAATAACTCCTTTGTTACTTGCTTCTTACTGCTTGGATGGATGAAGCCTACCAAGCATCACTCGACACTGGCAGTATAGTCGACAACACCATTTTGGAGACTAGTTTACCAACGGGGAAAAAAGAAGCCTAATAAACAAATTTACTTTTACGATTATAACATTTATTAGGATTTTGGAACAGACTGACTGACTTCAGAAGCATTCACAAAGTGATATCCACATTCTATATTAAAATCGTTATCAGGTCTTTTAGTCTTATCATTATAATTCGTTATTAAAAGAAATGTAAATTGGGAACATTTACATTACTATAGGAAATAGTTATAAAAATACGAGGCATAAGTCACAATAACATTTTAAAAATTTTCTTCGTTTACTTACAGCTATCGCCTGGCTGGTAATACCGTTCAAGATGGCTGACTATGAGACCTTACTCCCGATCTACTCCTGGAGGTTATTCCTAGCCCTCTCCAGTATTCCAGGGTTTATCTCAGGAGGGTGGGTTCTTGCCCTTCCGGAGAGTCCTAGATTACTGTCTGATACCAACAGGAGTGAGAAGGCATTGAAGATCATGGCGTACATTTACAAGACTAACCATGGGACCAGTGCTGAATTTAAGGTATTTATTGAAAATATTACGATGTTTTTAAAGTTCACCTTGTGTTAATTTCTAAAGAAGATAAAACCTTTAAAAACGAACTAAATTCAAGTAAAATGTATTGAAAATTAAATAAAATGCATTATGTGATCTGAATACGACCGAGTGTATCAATATACTTTCACAACGAAATATCCGCTCTTTATATTTTAACTAGCCATCCGCCCCGGCTTCGCACGGGTACAATACTCATGTATTATACACATAAAAGTTCGTTAAAAATCACACTATCTATTAAAAAAAACTGCATCAAAGTCCGGTGCGTAGTTTTAAACATCTAAGCATACATAGGGACAGACAGACAGCGGATAGCGACTTTGTTTTATACAATGTAGTGATTTCTCAATTATTTTTATTATACAAACAAACTTGCTTGTTTACTTCCAGATAAAAAAACTTATCCAGGATGAGGTATTTGTGGGAAAGACCCTCAGCAGTGAAGAGAGTAGGACCAAGGTTCTATTCTTGAGCGTCATCAAAGACCTGAAAACCTTCGTCTCCAAGAGCTATGCGGTGAAGTCCAGCCTGATACTCTTTATGTTCTTCGCTAATATGGCTGCGTAAGTATTATGACCTGAATATTTTTGAATTCTTTTTTGCAGCAGGTATGTAGTCTAGTCTAGATTATTCTTATTAAAATAGTACTAGGTACTAATTAGGTACATAACTAAAAGAAACTGGTACCAAATGATTACTGCCCTACCTCTCATCAAAATAATTGAAGAATGCTAGTTTCCTTACAATTTGTTAATACGTTAACAAGTTTCATTTTTTTTTCCAGTGGCTTTGGCCTAAACATGTGGATTCCAGAGCTTCTCCTCCGCATCCAAGGCAGAGAGTGCAAGCTGACTGCATCTACCGCTAAACCAGAAAACGCAAGGCTCTTTAACGCCACAACCCACTGGAAAGATCTGAAGTATGACTCATATGGCAAGGAGATACCAGTTCCAGGGCTCAATGACAGCAGCAATTTTGATGATCATTTCGGACAGGGAATTCCTTGTGATTCCACTATCGATTCGGAGGTGAGGATTCCACTTGTTTTTGGGTTTCTAAACGTGGTTTGACTTTGCATGGCTCAGATGTCTAGACAGTTGCTGCTCAATTATTTTATAATCTTTTAGTTACAATAGAGAGCTTCTCTGTCCAATGAACTAGAAAGTCAAATAGTTCAAATTAGTACCACTGCCAGGTCCATACTAGAACAACATCAACTAGTGGTCAAACGTCGGCCCATCAAATATATAAAAAACTACTACAATTTCTATGCCATCCTTTCAACTACGCTTAAAAACCCTCTTTATTTCTTTCCAGGTATTCACGTCAGGTCTGATTGTTGGAGCTTGCTGTGTCCTTGGCAATGCTGCATGTGCCATCCTCTGTGCTCGAGGAGGAGCTCTGGGAGTCCGTCGAGCAGCAATAGCTTGCACAGCAGTCTGTGCCCTCGCTAGTGCCTGTTTAGCAGCCACTGCATGTTCCTGCTCCAGTTTCAACAAAATAGCAGTCGCAGCCGCTGCAGCGCTGAATGCAGCATCTCTCAATGGAAATGTGCTGTTGATACGACTTCTACTGCATGCTTTACCAGCGCGATTGAGGTAACTTAATAAATAAAAGATATTGATCTCAAAAAAATTGGAAGTAGACGTTTCTGTGCAGTCCTTAGATATTTAAATAAAATATTTTTTCTTCCAGTGGTCTAGGAGTGTGCTGGGGAGCCTGGTGGGGTAGAGCTGGTGGCGTGGCCTCTAACCTAGCGGTAGGGGTGTTACTGGACTTCTCCTGTCCTGCGCCCTTCATTGCAGTAGGGGCTTTACTTGCATGTGAGTATTTCGTTAAGAAAACGCTACATCCCTATCTTTTGAAATTGAACTTTAATGCTTTCAATTAAGAGTAATTTTATTATGGTTTTGTATTCGAAAACTTCTAAAGTGTACACTTTACAATCCGCAATCTTTACAGTATCTATTGGTGCCATAATGGTGATAAAACTTGGAGAAGAAAGAGAAGAAACAAGTCAGAAGAAAGAAGAAGAACTTGACCACGGTCAGGAGAAGAATACTGGACTAGACAGATATATATCCACGTATATGTAGTTCCTAGTATAGTGTTGAGTCAAGACAAAGTTAATTCAGTAACATTTGGAGTAAAAGTAATTCAATTGGAGTCCAAACAAAATGATGGTTGTCCGTCCAGAAGAATGATAGAATCGCTTGCTCTGAATCTAACTTGGATAATGTAGCCATTATTAGTTTATTTCTACCTTAGACTCTGGTAGTAAAGGTTAATTTACAAACGATACATTATTGTCAAGTTAGTAGGTAAATACGAAGGCATATTTTGATTATTATTTAGTAAAAAACTTATCATTACCTCCTTGGAAACCCCTTACGGCTCCCTTTTTATAGAAAAGACCAAAAAATTACAAGAATATGATGAGAATACCTACTAACTATTAGCCCCTACCAAAAATAAATTTTTAACTGTAGTTTTAACTTTGGAACAAGGGGAAACTACTTAAAAGAGGTTTAAAAATAAAACGTTGCCTTATCTACTACGTACATAGATAAGTAACATTAAAATACTATGTCTTATTATGTTTACGTAAATATAGACCTTAATGCCTGTACATAAGTTCTATTGAAAGTTAAATTGAATGTATGCAACTATACATAATTCATTTTGTAGGTAAATTAGTTATAACTGAAGTTAAAATAAAATTGGTAGTGATTGACACTATTTGAGAGCCAATGGGAGTACTTATACATATTTTGCAATCTGATTGGTCAGTGTTAATGCCAAAAAACGGACACGTATCCCAAAGTGATAGATTAAACAAATGTTCTAAAAGTGTTTACAAACCATGACAATATGTTCACAGGATATGTCGACAAATGTGTATTAAAAATACATAAATATCTATAAAATGTTTACAGAACACGGCATAAATGTTTTAATTTTTCTATGATTTTAAATAAAAAATGTCTACAAGTTACGACAACATTAGACAATTTTCAAAGTATCATCTTAATCCCTACAGCATATAATAGTTATTTTGATTGAATAACATTTAAATAATATTATTAATATTAAAACTCTTGTGAGACATACTAATTTAATAAATAAGTTAATTATTATGTTTTCGGCTTGCTCACGTAACTGTTTGCCGAGGAACTCGACTTGTTTCAAGGCATGCACGAGGCTCATATTCATGAGCAGCATTCCGCGACCCGCGACGCGGCGACTGTCGCTGCTACGTACTGCACTAGTCATGTTCCTTACAAACAGTTACGTGAGTAAACCCAAAACCATAACAATGAATATTAATAATTTTAGACATTTTGTAACATTATTATGTTTTCGGCTTACTCACGTAGTAATTCGACGAGGAACTCGACTAGTGTCAAGCAGAGACAGTCAAGAGTAGCAGCGCGACGCGGGTCGCGAAATGCTGCTCATGAATATGAGCCTCTAGCATGGCTTGAAACTAGTCGAGTTCCTCGTCGAATTACTACGTGAATAAGCTGAAAACATAATAATTTATTTAGTACTAGCGACCCGCCCCGGCTTCGCACGGGTGCAATATGTATGTACATACAAACCTTCCTTAAGAATCACTCTATCTATTAAAAAAAACCGCATCAAAATCCGTTGCGTAGTTTTAAAGATCTAAGCATACATACGGACATACAGCGAAAGCGATGTCTCACGGAAGTAACAATACAAATTTTGTAACATGTGTAAAAATGTAATATTTAAAAGCGAAGTAAACGAAGATTGGATTCGAAATCCAAAATTGACAGCCATTTTTACAATTAGAATAAACTCAAACATATCAAGAATGTTTGTAAAACTATTATAATAGAAAATTTTACTTATAAGTTGATCGTAAACATTAATTAAGTCTAGACTAAGTAGAATAAGATCTCGTAATATTAAGATTTTTGTATTTATTTCTAGGTAATAATCGTCAAATTAATTAATTCGACTGTTAATTTTTAACCGAAGATTAATATTTGAAGCATTTATAGCCTTTAAATAGTCCGATTTATAATTTATAGCCGATCAATTCTTAGACAGTTTGTAAGTTTAGAAGTCTGTGTATTTGTTAGTCGATGATGTCAGAACAGCTCAAGGACATAACATAACATAACAACTTTACCCCGGAAGGGGTAGTCAGAGGTTCACATTACGGCACATAATGCCATTGTACAATGTAAGACACATTTCACTTTTGTGTTATAAGTCCCATGTAATAAGGGGTGAGTCTATTGCCATATACCGGGCACATTTCTAGACTCTGTGCTACTACTAAGATTTAAAAAAAAACAGTAATACTTTGCCCGATAAGGGAATCTAACCCGAGACCCCTTGCCCGGCAGTTGCACTTGCGACTACTCGGCCAGCGAGGCAGTCTTTTTCTGAAGAGTTGAAGAGTTTCTAATATCTTTTGCTTATAAATAGGTATGTTGGTGTACTATATCCTTATGTTTTAGACCACGATATAAGGAATCTTTACATGGAATGAATATTTAACACTATTAACTGTGAATTTCATACCCCAGTAAATCTTTGTCTGACCCGGGAATCGAACCCGAGACCCCTTGCCCTGCAGTCACACTAGCGATCACTCGGCCAACGAGGCCACAGCTGAAGGAATCGGGATGACATATAGAACAGGCGTAGATAAATTAGGATCAGCCCATAGTCTGAAATAATACCTACATAGGCTATTTTTTATTCGCGAAGCTGCTAACTGAAGCTAGTTAGGCTATAAATTATAAAAATGGCCATTTAAGACATATTCACAATTACTCTGTGATTTAAACAAAATATTGAAATGATTTTGAGGGACGTTTATAACGTACGAGTTATTTTATTTTAATGTAAAATAAGTGTAATATTTTGAATAACGCTTTAAATAAAATGTTAAATAAATGGCATTATTTATCTTATATACATGTTTTATTATTTTATTCGTATATATAACTAATTTAACAACATATTTTTGATATAATAGAATTATATAATATTAATCATTATGTAACTATATTATTTAATATACATAAGATAACATCACGCCTTTTATCCCCGAAAGGGTTGGCAGAGGTGCACATTACGGCACTTAATGCCACTGTAATGTAACACCCACTTTTCACTATTTATGTTATGAGTCCCATGTAATAGGGGGTGAGCCTATTGCCATATACCGGGCACAGTTCCAGACTCCGTGCTACCACTGAAAAAAACCCAGTAATACTTTGCCCGACCCGGGAATCGAATCCGAGACTCCTTGCCCGGCAGTCGCACTTGCGACCACTCGGCCAACGAGGTAGTCATTGGCCGAGTTATTTAATATACTATACTATGATATTATAACTCGCAAATAATTGCACCAAATTCCATCATTCTTACTATACATTTTTCATTTTGCTATCAAAGAATAAAAATATCCTTAAATACTAAATAATTATTTATTTAACAAATTGATAAGTACTTGTGTAAATACAAAGATATTTGTCATATGTCACAACCTAACTATTTCTTTTATTAATTTCATAGTGATAATATGCATTTGGTTTTTATTCTGCAAAGCATCAATCAATTATGGTATTTTTTATGGGATAAGCCGGTCAACGAGTAGACGGATCACCTGATGGTAAGCAATCGTCGCCCATGAAGTATACCAGAGGCGTTACAAATGTGTTACCGGGACTACCTTTTAGGGATTTGGAATTTGAGGATTGTTTAGGATCCAGGGATTGAGGAGATTGTGGAGGGGAGGGTAATTGGGCCTCCGGTAACCTCATTCACACGACGAAACATAACGCAAGCGTTGCTTCACGTCGGTTTTATGTGAGGCCGTGGTATCACTCCGGTCGAAACGGCTCTTTTGTGCCAAAGCGTGGCTCTCCTAGACTCATAACTATGAATTTAAACTTGAATTCTTCATAAAGAATAGCGCCATCGATTACATATGTATAACTTTTCTCTTTCACAATTTTTAAACGACTACAACGCTACCACATTATAGTTGGGTAGTTTCCAGGGTATCAAAATTAAAAATCGAATTAGTCCGTCAGTTAGATAATAAAAAAATATCAGACACGTATTTTTTTATTTTCTCGTATTAAGTTGCAATACATAGATAAAATGGCGCTAAGTTTAGGAGTGGGAGGTCATAACGTGCTACAAAATGTGACACGCTGTGACGTCACACGATATTTCAAATTAATATGTCGTCGAAAGTATTTAATTTTGTGAGAAAAGAAAAAATAAGTTTTAAATTAAAATAATGTACCAGACGGACATTTAAATGAAATTTAGGAAATTACCCTATTCCTGATCAGACTAATTTTATTTTTTATCTACATATATATATGTATATACAGTCACAATTTATGTCTTCAAAGATTATCACTATAACTGTTACGATATAAAATAAATCACAGATTATATGGAGACTTAGAAAATTGATATCCTTCAAAAATGGTGTCGACAAGACCCAACATGGGGTTAGATTTCTACGAAAAGCCCAATGCAAGGTTCTTTGTAAGTATATTTCAGACTATCGTAGATAGCTGATGACGGAAGATAGAATTCATGAGGAATTTCAACCCTAAGTCAACAAAAAGATATATTATTATTTTATTTTCAGCATCAACACGGTTCGGGTTCATTGGCCTCAGACAACTTAATTTTTGGGTTTTTCAACATTGTTAGGCTCTCATTGATTTTTGTGTCTGATACTGCTGGCTTGTCTGGAGGCAGGAACCAGGCAGCTACTGCACTCGCTGAAAATGGGGACAAATATGAAGTTAGATTTTAGGTAAAGTTTAAAGTACAACATGCTGAACATCGTCATCATCAATAGCAGCAGGAGGACGTCCAATGCTGATCAAATGCCTCCTTCTTAGTCCTCCACGTCAAGCAACCACTGCAACAACCAGGCTGATCATACTACCTCACACTATATATCTTCATGCTGGAATTCTAGTTGCTATTATAAATCTTCTGGTGTCTATACTAACAGAATTTTCTTTTCTTTTTTATAAAAATACCTAGCCCCACACGAAAATTTTCTCATGTGTCATGGGTGCGTTTACAAACATATAAGTTCACATACACATGACACTCAGACCTAAAACAACAATTTGTGGATCACACAAAGAGTTGCTCCTCTCGGGAATTGAACCCGGTACAAGCTGAGCGATAGGCGGTTGCCCAGGCAATGCGTTAATCATACAGTCAATTTTTTTCTTTCAATATGTCAAGATTCATAAGATATCAGACACAAAAGTACTTACTCAAAACAAGCAGAGACCATAAGTAGAAGGTGACCTGACAATGGTGGAATATCAGGTTGCCAACCACGTTGATACCAACGAAGGTACTGCTTCGACCCACCATGATGCTGAGGCAAGCAGCCATACCCCTGGAATAAGAAACGAGTTTGTGGAAGAGAATGACAAATGAAATTGACAAAATCATCCACGTTTTAGTTAGGGTTACTTGTTAAAAGGTTTTAGGGGATTTTAAAGTAGCGAATGATCAAGCTTAAATATTCAATGATGTTCTGATCATCATGAGGCAGAGGAAAATATTACAAATGATCTTGATGATGAAAAGGTTAAACTCTGTGGTTCGAAACTAGTAGAGCTTTTCTCGGTAAATTCACGTGAATAACCGGCAATTTTAGTTGCAGTTAAAGATGTTAATGTCACAATGGAAATTAGTTTAAATTTTGATTTGTATGATATTATACCTATTATAACATAATCAAATTCTCAAGCTTTAAATTATTTAAATTTAAGAAATATGGATTCTCAGACGTAGGTACATAACATTATTTTAAAACGTAACCAGCGAATGACCAAATGAACTTGAATCGTAGGTAGGTAATGAATAAAGAATACATATGTATTTTAAGCCAACTACTATGATTTACCTATAAGAAGTAGGGTAAATATCCACAAAGTAGGAAGCCAGGATGCCCATTCCCAAACAAGTACAAGTGAAGACCATAAAGAAGAAAACGCTGGAGATAGGCTCTGGCACTAAGTTGAGACACGTCCCACTGATGGAGGATAGGCAGAGGATGCAGATCAGTACTAATCTTCTTCTATTTTGAAGGTAGGAGATGAGGAAGTTGAAGAATGCGAAGACTGATTGAGAGGCAATGAGGGTCAGGATCACGTTGTGTTCCACGGTGCCTGTACAGACTTCGTGGGTCTGGAATAGAAAATATGTTGTAATTAGTCACTTAATTAATTGTTATTTTACATTAATTGTTATTTCAGTACCTAAGTTATTTTTAAGAACTATTTACCTTAGTGAGGTGATAGTAAATGAAGTCAAGGTAGATAATAAACTTGAAACACTTACTATATTCTTTGTAGAATTTCCAATAGATAACGGCTTAGTACTGATCAGCTCACAGATATTTCCAGTCGCAGTCCCGCTGTCCATTGACAGCCTGATGAGGTTTAGGATATATGGGAGCCACACTAAGAAGCTGTTGTTCCTGATGATAAAGATTATACCATAGTTCTTAAACTAGTCGATACAAATATGTAAGAGATAGGAAAGATCTAGAAGTCAAAAGATTAGATACTAGTTAAGCACAGACCTAACGGAACGGAACCTAACAGTGTATACTTTAGAACTTAAAATATTTTGAGATTTTGAAAGGAAAACAGACATTCTTACATCCCTTGGGAAAAGAAACAATATCTTTGTCAACAGGGATGGTGGCTGGGCACTGCCACCCGAGTAGCAGACAAACTTAAAGTCATCCGATCCACAGCATCTGGAGTGTGACACAGTAAGCGTTGTGTGACACTGACTTTATGCCGACCTGAGAATCGAACCCCCTACCAACGCCCCTGGTGAACGTGCCGCGCGTCTTAACACAGCATCGTCGTTAGCGCCACCACCGCTATCACCGGAGTTGGAAACAAAGGCGCGTGGTTTCTGGCAGAGAGCGCGAGGGGTGCGCAATGTAAGCAGGCACTACCCTGCGTTAGTGTTGGTTTTGGCTGGCAGCCTACTGGCACTAGGCAGTGCGACGGCGTCCTACCGCATAATCTGGTTATGAGGAAGAGTCCCTTTGTGACTTGAAACTAGTAAAGCTTTTCTCGGTATATTTACATGAGTAACTCGTAATTTTTAGTTAATTCAGTATATCCCACGATAGTTATTATACAAACTTTTTTGTCATAGAAACATTAGATCCATTCAGAATCGAACTTTAAACTCAAGGAAATAAAATCCATCTTCCTAGTATATCACCAATTTGAGGTTAGTATACATAGTTACAGTATGAAACCTGGTTCTCACGTGATGTACACGACTGCGACGATGTAGAACAGCTGTGCACTCCTCCACACGTAGGGCGGTCTGAAGAGAGGGGCACTCTGCTCATACATGGCTCGGAGGAGACTCATCTGCTTCTTCGGCGTGTAATCACCTAAGCTCAGGGAATGCACCTGTAAATAAGTTTAAGAATATTTTAATTTGATGGGGTTTTGGAATATTTTGTTCGTTTGTGTTGTTTTTTTTTTTAAAAATTGCCACACTCTAGGATTTTCTCCAGTATCGTGGGTGCATTTACAAACATACAAGTTCACATATACATACATATCACCCAGACCCGGAAAATCAAGTTTTGGGTCACACAATCAGTTGCGCCGTGCGGGAATCGAGCACGCGACACCACGGTTGCCCAGCCACTGCACCAATCGTACCGTTTTTATTAGATCTTTAATGTATTTTTTTTTCGTCTTCCCTGTTTGTTGGTATATTCATAAGTATCTACATGACTCTAAGAACGTTAATAAGGAATAGTTGAAGCGGTTTTGAAGATTTGCACACACAATCTACAAAAACTAAAGTTAGTAATTGCTGTAAAATGATTTCTTTTTCAATTATTTTATTTGCTCTATGTGCACATTTACTAAGTCTTCCAAAATTAACTAAAACTAACTACTAACTATTAACTAAATTGTGGGTTACTCACGTGAATATACTGAACAGTACTAGTTTTGAGTCACATTTTCTTCCTAAGTCACTGGTTCTTCCTCATGAGTTGCGGTCGCGGCGATGTCGCGTATCCTTCCTTATCTTTAGGTCAGCTTTTCTCAGTATATTCACGTGAGTAAAACGCGATTTATAGTTAATTTAGTCTGTACATACATA